CCCCCTTTTTTCCTTCCTCCCCCCCAACCTCACCCTAGAGATGGCTACCATTAGACACAAATACGTAGATAAGTATATATGACACACACACATGTGCACAGGCACATACATATGTGTGAGAGAAATTATTCTACACATACTGTTAGTCAGTTCTTTCTCTGGACATACATATTTGTTCATAGGCCTTCTGCCCTACTACACTGTGAGAGGGTAGGGACAATCTTTTCTTGTCTTTGCATAAATCCTCAGGGATTAGCAACAGCGTTAGGCCCCTCATAAGGCTTTAAACAATGCCCACTGCCTGCGTGTAAGGACAAGCAGTGGCTGGAGCCCAGTGGAGTGAGGAGAGGCACCCTCCCAGAAAGAATGGACCCTAGCGGTGTGGGAAGGGAAAGGGATGCCTGGGCAGCCGGGGGATCTAGGGGGACTTGGGGTCAGAAAGACCCGAGTTTGGAGCCTGCTCTGACACCTTGACGTTCAGTCATTTTTCAGTTGTATCCAACTCTTCCTGACCCCATATGGGGTTTTCTTGGCAGAGATCCTGGAGTGGTTTGCCATTTCCTTCTCCAGCTCATTTTACAGATGAGGAAACTGAGGCAAACTGAGTGAAGTGACGTGCCCAGGGTCACACAACTAATAAGTGTCTGAGGCCGGATTTGAACTCAGGAAGATGAATCTTCTTGATTTCCTTTGCCACCTAGCCACCCCTCAAAAAACTGGTTTGCCATTTCTTTCTCCAGTGATTAAGGCAAACAGAAGTTAAGTGACTTGCCCAGGGTCACACGGCTAGTAAATGTCTGAATTTGAACTCAGGCCTAGAGCTCTATCCACCACACTACCGAGCTATCTCAGACGCTCATAGGATCACTTACACAAGTGACTTTAGGCAAGTCATTTAACTTCTCCAGCCTCTGTTTACTCCTCTATAAAATGGGGATAAAAGCAGAGCACCTAGCTCCCAGGTCTGTATGAGAATCAAATGACATAACACATTGCCATCTCACTTTGCAAACCTTAAAGCGCTCTACAAACACTAGTGATTACTGTTACCGTTATTGTCACTACTGTTTTGCACAAGGGCTTGTCAGTAAGAGGGGGAAACCACCAGGTAAGGGCAGCGAGGGCCCGCTCAGGGAGACGTAACAGGAGGTGAATACAGTTAGACTGGAAGGGAGGAGTCCAAGACAGGAGCCTGGAAGGCCATGATCACAAGCTGGGCTTTCACCCAGGGACCAGCCGGAAGCCGCTGGAGCAGGGATGGGCAGGCAGCCTCCGGCCCGTGGAGCCATTCTGGCCCAGCCATGTAGTTTTAGGGGCAGGAGCGCTGGCCTGCACTCACAGGGGCCCAGCAGGACAGCGTGGGAACAGGGACACTGCTTCAAAGTTAGAAGACCGGGCAGGGTTCCAGTCCAGGCTATATCCACTGACTGTGACTCTGGTCCTCATTTATTAAGTGCTTACTGCATTCCAAGCGCTAGGGATGAACATTCCCAATCCTTAAGGAAGCGTGCACTTTAACAGGGAAAACAACATGTAAGTGATACGTCCATACAGGTTTTTATACAGAAGAGGCGGCAGGCATGAGCCAGGACACCAAGAAAGGCCTCCTGCAGAAGGCAGCATCTGGGGCCACGCCTAGAAGGAAGTGATGCTTATAACAGCTCTGAGCCTCTCAGTTTCCTCATCTGTCAAATGGGGATAACACCACCTGGAGCTGTGAGATCAAGGGTGTCTACGACTTTGTAAAAGGGACACATTATACAAATGCCAGCTGCTATTTATTAGCACAGGAAGGAGGGCACGGGCTGCTGCTTCTGCACCTGCCCCTTATTTACCTAGTGAGAATTTCTTCCTTCTCCACCCCAGGCATAAGGGAAGAGAACCATGTCCCCTTGGGAGCGGAGAATGAGTGGAGCATCTGGCCAGTAACATGCTCTCCCTGGAGAAAGGGGTGATGGGGGAGTGAGGTGAGAAGCCGGGGCAACGTCGAGAGGTGTCTGACTCTTCCATTACTGCCGGGAAGGCTGACCAGCTGGCCCTACTCCATCCTCTGGCCAACCTTCCAGGATGGAGAGGCTCTGCCCTCCCACCCCTTCAGGGGAGGGGAGCCACTCAATTCTGTGGTTGAGAGGGGGAACCAGGGTGGGGCTGTTATCTCTGTAAGGAACCTCCCCCCACAGTCTAGTGAAACACAAGGCCCCAGTGACAGGAACCCAAGTCAAAATCCAGCTGTGGCTGCCAAGCAGACACACGAGATTCTAAGTTCTAGAGGGCAGGGACCATCTCCCTTTTGTCTTCGTATGTCCAGGCACAGCACAGAACCAGCACACAGAAGGCCCTTGCAAAGCAAACAAAACAAAAACAAAAAACGCTTCCTTGATCACTGCAAAATGTGACCGACTCAAACGGAAACTCCTTGCCTTGGAATCCCCAGCACCCAGCCCAAAGCCTGGAACTTTGTAAGCACTTAAAAGAAAGGCTCCATGTATACACCAAAGCCTTCCAGTGGTCCTTTTTATGGTAACAAAGGCCCAGAAATAAAGCAGAGGCCCACACAAGGTGTGGTATGTGACTGTACAGTCATGGGATGTTAATGTGGCATGACCCTGGGTGAGTCACTTCACCTTGTCTGCCTCAGTTTCCTCATCTGTAAAATGAGCTAGAGAAGGAAATGGCAAACCACCCCAGTATCTCTGCCAAGAAAACCCGAAATGGGGTCATGAAGAGTTAGACACAACTGAAAACAACTGAACAATAACAAAAAAAAAATCTATGAAGTTTTGTTAAAAAAAATTACTTTTCTGTTTATTTCGTAAAAACTTGGATGTGTAAAGGTAGCTATGATTCCCTACAGCCTCCCCCAATAGAATATAAGCTCCTGGAGGGCAGAGACTTTCATTTTCGTCTCTGTAAGCCGGTCACCTAACAGAGCACCTGGAAATAGGGTGTTGTTCAGTCATGTCCAATTCTCCATGACCCCATTGGGGGTTTTCTTGGCAAAGATACTGGAGTGGTTTGTGATTTTCTTCCCCAGATGAGGAAACTGAAGCAAACAGGGTTAAATGACTTGCCCAGGGTCATACAGCTAGTAAACATCTGAGGCCAGATTTGAACTCAGGAAGTTGAGTCTTCCTGACTCAGACCTTGCGCTCTGTGCACTGTGCCACCCCCTAGCTGCCCTGGAATATGGTGAACCCTTCATATGTGTTTGGCTGATCCGTCAATGTATTTTCTTCTTCAAAGGTCCTACTTACACCAGCCTTTCCCTATCATTGTTGTGGGCACCCTGGTCACTGCCTGAAATCTCTCGATCCAGTTAGTGCCCGGCTCCCAGTTTTCCCTTCTCCCTCCTCCCCCTCTGAGGTCAACCTTAAGACTCCGCCGGTGCCCTTCGGAGCCAGGAAGTGGCCTGGTCCAGAGTCTGCACCTTTTTAATGTTGTGGAGCCCCTGGCAGTCTGGTGAAGCCAACCGACTCCTCAGGAAAAAATGTATATAATGTATAAGATTAAAAGCTAATAATAATAATGATGGAGGTAATACCTAGCATTTCTGCAGCTTTTTAAAGTTTACAAAGCATTGGACCTACCAGCTCATTGGATGCTCACAACTACCCTGGGAAATAATAACAATAATAATAATAATAATAACTACAACAACTATTACTACTAGCATTTATATAATGTTCACAATACTACTACTACCACCACCACTAACATTTAAATAGTGTTCACACTACTACTACTACTACTACTACTACTACTACTACTACTACTACTACTACTACTACTACTACTACTACTACTACTACTATACTACTACTACTAATATAGTGCTCACAATATACCAGACACTGTTAGGCACTTCACAGTTATTATCTTATTTAATTCTCACAACCTCTATGGAAGGAAGGTGCTATGACTGTCCTCATTTTACAGATAAGGAAACTGAGGTAGACAGAAGTCAAGTGACTTACCCAAGGTCACACCACTAAGTGTCTGAGGCTGCGTTTGAACTTAGGTCTTCCTGATTGAGCCCAGCATTCTTTAAAAATTTATCTGTTTTAATGTCTAAGATGGTAAATAGCAATAGTGAGAATCCCCATAAGCCAAAGATCTTTGGAGTTCTCAGTCCCTTTTAAGCAGCTAAGATGTTTGAAAAGCGGGCGCAGCGGAACCTTGCTGAGCGCAGGCCTTTCATCCTTGGGGAACAGCCAGAGGAAAGGCTAGAGACGGGAGAAGGGGCTGGAGGGGAACGGTGTGCTGAGTACGGCGGGAAGGTGGGCCGTATCTAAATGTCCAACCAAAGCCTTTCTATCTTGTCCTGGGGGCAACAGGGGCTTATACAATATGGTGCCACCCACCCTTAAGTCACATAACTCCCTTCACACATCCTACAACCCAGTCAACTGGGCTACCCATAAGGAGGCCCTGCGCCCACCCCGTTCCCTGTAGAACCTGGACTCCTGTCTATCTCCCCACACTGTTAACACTGCGACTTGTCCTTAAAGGCCCATCTCAAACGCAGTTTCCTTGCTGAAGTTTTCGTGGTCCCCATCCAATCCTGAACAGCCCTTGTGTTTTTATAACTTTCTTTAAAGCTATTTATATAATACTGTACGTTTTAATTACTGGTCCTCATCTTGGGAGGTGTCATGAATACACAGCCAAGGCCTCGGAGCAGGAAGATCTGAATTCAAATTCAGGCTCAGACACATACTAGGGCTCTGACTTCCTAGGCAAGTCACTTAGCCGATTTGCCTCAGTTTCCCCATCACAACAGCACCCGCCTCTGAGGGTTGGAGTCAGAATCAAATGAAATAAAGTGCTCAGCACAGCACGGGCACGTGGCAAGCACTACATAAACGCTGGCTGTTATTTTAATAATAGTAGTAACTTTCATGTCACCCCCAGTGCCGAGCACAGGCTCTCACACCAATTGGGCGCTGAAAAACACGTATTCACTGAGTCCAGTCTACAGGACAGCGGCCAGTCATACTCACGTCATCTACCTTCGGCTCTGTAACGGGGACCCATTTGTAGATCCGCAGGGAGGTGTCGCCTACGGTCACCCACTTCTTCTCCCTGTGGACGACCGACAAAGAGATCCTGGTTACTCGGGGTGCTCCAGCTGGGGCCGGTGACAAGCACAGCCTCCCTCTCCTGGGGGGTGCGTGTGTGCTGTGTGTGTGTCTGTACGTGTCCGTATGTGCACGTGTGTGTATCTCTGGGTGCGACTATGAGAAAGAACCCGTGTGGGTGCCCATGTGAACCTAACAAAGTATCACTGATGTGACAAGCAATGACTCTGAAGGGTTCCAAGGACCAAGGCAGGACAAAGACACACACCACTACAACCACATAAGCAGGAAGGAAAGAAACAAATCTGAGCGCTGAGCAATTAGGACAACAAAGCTTGGCCCAGGAAAGGACCTGAGAAAATTCACCTCCATCCCTCTAACGCGGAGGCGGGGGGCCACGGCTAGGGAACGCTGCAGACACCGCTCTCTGATGTAGGGCTAGTTTTACCAAACTCTTTCTTTTTAAATCTTTGCTACACGAGGGATGGCTCGCTTGGCAGGGAAGGGAAAAGGGACGTATCTAAAAATCACAGTGATGTAAAAACAAAGACATCAATAAAAATTAAAAAGAAAAAAAAAGGTTAAGCTTCTTGAAAGCAGGGACTTTTTTGTTTTTCTCTGTAAACATCTAACTGTTATCAGGCTGCTAGGTGGTTCAGTGGATAGAACACTGGGCACGGAGTCTGAAAGATCAGAGTTCAAATCCAGCCTGAGACACTTACTAGATGGGTTACCCTGGGTGAGTCCCTTAACTTCTGTTTGCCTCAGTTTCTTCAACTGTAAGATGGGAATAACAACATGACATATACCTCCTCCCCCTCCCTTGTTGTGAAGATCAATATTTATCAAGTTCTTTTTTTTTTTTGGCTAGGCAATTGGCGTTAAATGACTCGCCTATGTATCAAGTTCTTAACTCAGTGCCCGGCAATAAGCAATCTACAAACATTCATTAAGTGCCTACTGTATGTCAGGCACTGAGCTAAGAGCTGGGGAGACAAAAAGAGGCAAAAGACAGTCCCTGCCCTCAGGGAGCTTACCTTCTACTGAGAAGATACAGCAGGGACACAGATAAGACATATGCAGTAGGCAGAGAGTGACTTCAAGAAGAAAGAATTAACAGCTTGGGAAGGGGGGAAGGAAGGGAGAGGAAATGAGAAAAGACAGCATGTAAGAAGCAGCCCCTGAGATGAGGCTTAAAGAATATTAGGAAGGGCAGCTAGGTGGCACCGGCCCTGAATTTGGGAGGACCCGAGTTCAAATCCAACCTCAGACACACAACACTTACTAGCTGTGTGACCCTGGGCAAGTCACTTAAACCCACTGCCTAGTCAAAAAAATAAAATAAAATTTGGAAAAAAAAAAAGAATGTTAGAGATTAAGAGAGAGGGGAAAACACTCCTGGCATGAGGAACAGCCTTATGCAAAGGCCTGGAGACAGGAGCTGAAAAAAATGCCTAAGAGGAACAAAGAGGAGGCTAGTTTGGCTGGCATATGAAATCAGACTGGCATGATGGGTTAGGACTGGCCTGTGAAAGGGTTAAGAGGGGGGTGGAGAGACGAGCTTGTGTCTTATCTTAAAGGCACAGGAAACAACAGTCAGATCTGAGCTCCAGAAATACTGCAGCTCCCAGGGCAGGGACTAAAGGCTGGGATGAAAATCAAGGGCTATTTTATTGTAATACTGTCAAATGTTTCAGTGCTCTGATCACTTTGGCGGATTTTTCCCCCTCTTCTTCTTTCCCTTAAAAGGATTCTTTGTTATATGATGGGCATCTGGCACATGCATGTGCAGCCCCCATCAGCTTGCTTCGATAGTGTCTCCTCCCCCCATAGAGTTGTAAGGGACAGATGGCTCGCTGAGAAGTGTAGGTGATGAAAAAAAATTAATAGAACTCTATTACAATTAATTGGAGGCTCCGTAATTTAATCCTAAAGAATCGGTGGGTCAAAGTACAAATCAGCAAACAATAGAAAACTGCATCAGATAAAATGACAATATAACAAAACTTTGAGGATGGAGCCGACGGGGGAGGGATACAGGGGGACATGTGGGATAGGGAGAAAATGAAAATTAGGGTGGCAAGCAGGCGCCATAGTGTGTAGAGCCCCGGGCCTGGAGCGTGGAAGACTCATCTTCCTGAGTTCAAATCTGGCACCAGAGACCTCAGTTTCCTCATCTATAAAATGAGCTGGAGAGGGAAATGGCAAATGACTCCAGTCTCTTTGCCAAAAAGATCCCAAATTGGGTTACAAAGAGTTAGATATGACTGAAACAACTGAACAAAAAAATGAAAATTAAGAATAAAATTTTATTTTTTTAAAGGTATTATGATAGTTGAGAGGATGAAGGCCAACTTGGAGGGGTAAGAATCATTGGTTTAAAGCTGGAAGGGGCTGGGGGCAGAGAGAGGTTAAAGGAATTTGCCCCCAATCATCTAAGTAGTTAATAACAGAGCCTCTGGGGCAGTGGCGGGAGTGTGCTGAACTTGGGGGACGCAGGAGGACTGAAAGTCAAATCCAGCCTCAGACACTGCCGGCTGTGTGAGCCTGAGCAAGTCTAACAGCTCTCTGCCTCAGTTTTCCTCATCTGCAAAATGGGAATGGCACCCACCTTCTAGGGTAGTTGTGAGGATAAAATGAGTTTTGTAAAGCACTCTGTAAGCCTTCACACACTATATAAATGTCGGCTACCATTATTACCCCAACCTGAGTAGTCTGCCCACTGCACCATGACCCATGACTGTGGGGAAAAGGCCATCCCCCTGGCAGCAGAGAGCCAGGGTCCTTTATTTGGGCCAGCAGAAGGCAGAAGGCCCTGGGCACCATGCCCATGGCGGCACTTGGGCAGAAACGGCCCTTAAGCAGACCTGGCTCGACCCACTTTCATTTGTCATTTGGGTAAGAACCTTGCCAAAGGCGATTCACCCACAGCACATCTCTAACAGCTGAGGGTTCCTGCTTGGGCTCTTCTGGGTAGGAAGGACCTGGGAGCCACTGTGGAGACAGTAAACCCCACCAGGAGGCACCAGGGAAGAGAAAGAGGGAAGGGGAGGAGAGATAAAGAGAGAGAGAGAAAAGGAAAGAGGACAGAGTGGGAGGGAAGGGAAAGAGAAAGACAGAGAAGGAGGGAAGGGGGGAGAGAGAAAGAGAGAGAGAGAGAGAGAGAGAGAGAGAGAGAGAGAGAGAGAAAGGGAAAGAGAAGGACAGAGAGGAAGGGAAGGGAAAAAGAGAGAAAGGGAGAGAGAGATAGAAGAGAAAGAGAAGAGAAGGAAAGAAGAAATGGGAAAGAAGAGAGAGAGGTAAGGAAAAAGACGGGGGGGCAGAAGGAGTGAGGAAGGGAAAAAGAACAGAGAGAGAGAGAGAGAGAGAGAGAGAGAGAGAGAGAGAGAGAGAGAGAGAGAGAAAGAGAGAGAGAGAGAGGGAAAGAGAAGGACAGAGAGGGAGAGAAGGCAGGAGAGATAAACAGAGAGAAAGGGAAAGAGAAGGACAGAGAGGGAGGGAAGGGGGGAGAGAGAAAGAGAGAGAAAGAAAGGGAGAGACAGAAAGAAGAAGAGAAAGAGAGAGCAAGGACAGAAGAAATGGGAAAGGGAAGGAGAGAGAGGTAAGGAAAAACACAGGGGGGGGCAGAAGGAGGGAGGAAGGGAAAGAGAACAGGCAAGAGAGGGGGAGGGAGGGAGAGAGAAAGAAGAGAGAAGAGAAAGGGGAAGGAAGGAATGGGAAAGGGAAGGAGAAAGGGAAGGAAACAGACAGTAAGAGAGACAGAGAGGGAGTTCAGAGCCATGCCTGGCTGCGCCCGAGGGCCGGCCTGGTATTGACGCTGATGCGGTCTGAAAGGCACCTCATCGCAGGCCTCTTGGCTCAAGGGCAGGGGCCGCAGATGGGTAAGAGGAGCCAGACTAGAAAGTAACATGCTAATGGGCTCCACTCCCCCCGGCAAGTCTTCATTATGTATTATTCATGCCCATTTCCCGGGTCACATGTGCACGGATAACACACAGCTCCAAGACCTAGCAGAAGGTCGGCTAGCTCCTCGAGGAAGGAGAGTGGAGAGGCAGGGCTGTGCCGATGATGGGAACACAGATCTCCCCTCTGTGGGAGGCCACCTCAATCTATTGCTGGCAGAGGCTGGTATTAGAAAGCATGCTGTCTTGGTCATCAGGGGGCTCGGGTCAAAATTCTGGCTTGGTGGCCTCGGACAAGTCACTTGAGCTCTGTGAAGCCTCAGTTTCCTCACCTGTAAAATAAAGGGGTTGGGACAGATGGCCTCTGGGGTCCCTTCCGGCTTGATAGCCATGATTCTATGATCCTATAAAATGGGGATAACAGGTCCTCCCCGGAAGGGTTGTGAGGATGGTATCTGCGAAGCACTTGGCCCAGTGCCTGGCACACAGTAGGCATTTAATCAATGCTTATTCCTTTCCCTTCTAAAAAGACAGGCCACTTGAACCCAAACACTTAATCCTGCAGGGCCCAATACCTTCCATAGGCCCTAAAAGTGCTCTATTAATTTGGGGGGGGGGCGGCGGGCGGCTAGACAATGGGGTTAAGTGACTTGCCCTGGGTCACCCAGCTAGTACATGTCAAGTGTCTGAGGCCACATTTGAACTCAGGTCCTCCTGACTCCAGGGCCAGTGCACCGCCTCACTGCCCCTGCTCCCTTAACACTTGCAGATGAGGACCAGAGCTGGATCAAGGAGATTACAGAGCTTTAATCAATCAATGAATCAATCAATCACCATCAAAAGCGTCTACTGCCCAGCTGACAGGCTCAGGGATGATCCAGGACATACAGAGAAAGGCAGAGGCAGTCCCTGCCCTCAAGGAGCTGACATTCTAACGAGGGAGACAACAAGGTGACCTGTTCATTATATACGAGATACGCCAACAGGCAACTAGGCAACAGTGGACAGAGTGCCAAGCCTGGAGTCTGGAGGACCTGAGTTCAAATCCAGCCTCAGACACTTACTAGCTGGGTGACCCTGGGCAAGTCACTTCACCCTGCTG